TCAAAATCCAGAAAATCCAATATCAAATATGATCAGACCATACATCAATAACTAACCCCAATAACACTAAACTCATGAAGCGGTTAAAAAACGAGATAAACTGCACTCTCGTCCACGCCTTTACCTCCCCTTCCCGCTCACTCTACGCTTGCTGTGCCACTCACTCTTGTTCCCATTGATCAGACTCTTTTTAGCAGTAAATGAGCATTGCCCATCCAAATTACCTTTAACATTCGTCTCTTGCTGAATCCTACGGCGCCTCATCCTATTCTCTATTCTCTTACCTCTTAGGGCCCGAACCCGCTGCTCAATATCCAAAGCCTGCGAAAAATTCCATATCCTAACAACACCCTCCTCACCTCCACAAACAATACGATCAAAACCGATCCCAACTGAGAACAAATTACACCCAAAACCATGCAACATTCTCTGAGGGGGCTCCACATTCTTCTGACACAAGTAGTCACCCTTCGAATCAGCATTCTCGGTGGAAAATCGTTTTTTGGTCTTCAGCAGCCCACGAACATCAATGAGTGAGATTCTCCCATCGCTAGAGGCCGACACAAGCCACGGAAACTCGAACGCAAGGGAGTGGACAGGTCCCGTGTGGGGAATCCAAGTTGCTATTTTTCGTGCGCACTCGAAATTCCCAGTTATCTCAAACATGTGTATAGAACCATCCTCCCCGCCGCTAAACAGAAGTTTTCCAGTGTGGCTTCTCGCAAGGGAATACACGTTACCCCCATGAGCACCATTAATGACAGCAAGCTGATTTCCGGTGTTAGTTTCCCAGATGTGGACACTCGAGCCAGCTGTGCTACCAATAGTGGTCTCGTGAGGCACGAGGCTCCAAACCCAGTCGTTATGCATCAAAACCTTTAGACACTTCAAAGAAGCACGGTCCCACAACCGCACGGTCATATCCCAAGAACCGCTGTATATCCTGCTGAAATCCAAAGCGAGGCAAGTAATCGGGCCCACGTGCTCCCATAGCCGAAACTCCATGTTATGATCGTGCAGTGGGCTGTCGATGTCAAACAAATTAGGGTTTTGATCGTACGCATGCCAGCCATGTATGAACCCATCCGTACCCCCAGCCACCAACAGCCTCGAGTCAGCTGCAACTGCTCGTATGGTGCAACCTAAAGGCCGTGATGATGCAATAGACCGACCTTCCTCCATGTCCCACATTCTCACCACCTGATCGTAGCCTGAGGTGAACACCAGCTTCTTCGAAACCAACACGAAAACGGTCCTCACTGCTTCGGTGTGCCCGTAAAGCGTGTCTATAGTGTAACGCCCCATGAACGTCTTGCTACGAAAATCCCGCTCAACAAATAGTTCTTTCCATGACTTATCGTCCTGCCCCAACCCGATAGAGTTCACCGGATGGCCCCACCTCTCGCGGTAGAACTCCTTCCACACGTGGTGTTCTGAGGCGAGCTTGTAGAGAGATGTGTTGACACAAGAAATGGTCCCAAGTTCTTTTGGGTCGAGGAAATTGAGGATTTCAGACACTAGAGCTGGAGGAAGGTCAGTGAATGACCTAGATGATTTGAGAAAAAGATCAGTAGAATGGATCCCAAGTTTGGAAAATGCACCTTGAAGATTTTCAGACTCCAAAGGTTCGAGCTTTCTGTTGCTGGTCAAATTGAGTTGATCCGAGACGGCTTTTCCAGCTTGAGAACTATCCAAGTGATTTGTTGAAGTATTTCGCAAATTGTCTTCTGTATCCTTTTGGCATTCAAATGCCATAAAATGAACTTTACCGAGTTTCGGTTATATAATTTAAACCCCAAAAAAAGAAAAAACTCCGGGACTTGACAAAGGAATTTATGACGAAAACAAACAGCGCGCACTAACAAAGAAAACTTGGGCAAAAGCAAAATCAACGAAAACACAATTCAAATCACACCCTCGAAGCTCAGAATCACAGCCTAATAAACCCTAGATTGATAAGAATGTTGTTTCGTAAGGCGAGTCCAAAGTGTAGAAATAGGGGAAAAGCTGAATCAACGGTGTATAGCGGACAAATTTGTATAGAATAGATCCAATTTGAAGGATTACTTACAGGGGCAGGCGAGAGTTATCACAAGAAATTTCAGATTAAATCGTTAAAAGGAAAAAAAAAATTAATAAAATTAGGGCAAATTGAAAGTGAGAGAGAAAATCAGGATATTGAGATGATATATACCTCAACCGATCGACACGAAAACAAAGATTCTGCTGTGCTAAGCCGAGGATGGAATTCGAAGAAAAAACCCTAACTTCTGCCCAAACTAACTTAGAAGTACTCTTGATTGTGGTGGGTCGGGTTTGATGGGTCAATTTTTGTGGACAGGACACATCACAATTATGAATTTATGGTAGACCGGGAAAAATTAAATGATGAGCCAAATAACATAATATATAAAAATAAAACATTAAAATATTGACTTTTTTATTTTCTTTTATTCTTCATTGAATACAATACTTAAATATATGATTTATATCATTATAAAATATTTTAAATGTTATTTAAATATCATAGTTTTGGATTATAATATAATGAAAAATTATATATTATGACTATTGTATTCTTTTCTCAAACCAACACTTCACATAGTGCTTGATAGACAAACCTTTAATTTATTATATTAACATCATGTATTTTATATTGAAACAATTTTATATTTAATTAATTAACTTAATTTTTCGAAGTCATATTGAACAATTTTGTCAAAAATATTATTTAACATTATTTTATATCAAATAGAAGCTCTTTTGATAGCCGATAATATTACTTAACTGTTAATATCAAAATAAAAGGGCAGATACAGAAAATTTTAGTGAGGGAGGCGGTAAACTATATATAATTGTCAAAAAAATCACACGTTGAATATAATAGAATAAAAATATGTACTTCTAAACTTTGCTAGCATTTACAGTTGTTTAATTTTCTCAAAACATGGAATATATTAATAGTTGACTCGAACTTGTACAATATAGAAATATAGAAAAAATAAAAGAAAAATCTCATATTCGAATTTGCTATAAGCATATATCATATATTTTCACCACTTTACATTGCATATCTTAAGTGCTTCTGTATATTTCTGTATACAAGTGTATTTTTAGAATACTTACAAGATCTAATTATTATTTATAATAATAAGTAAATGGACTAGTACAAACAAGTTATCATAGTTGTGCATATTCTTCTACTAATACTATTCTTTGAATTCTCTATTTCAAGCTAAGACTGTTGATTATCAAAGTCTTAACTTATTTATTTAAATTGAAGATCAATATAAAAATATATTTTACATATACTTAATAGAAAATGTTGAGGGGCACAATGGCCTTCCCCAAGTTATATATGTGGATCCGCCCATATCAATAACAATGTGAAACTAAGTAAAGTAAATTTGTATTGGTTCACCGTTTTGGAATCTCCAAGTAGACTACAATTGTGACCGATTAACTAAAAGTACTTATGAAATGTTCAAAAGGGAACAAAACGGTTAAAGGATATTTGGTGCATAGTGTAAAAAATCTCAATGACATCACTTTTTTGCGGTTAAAAAGAAAATGCATCTCGTATGATAACTATTTCCAACAATGAATTTATGCAGAGTCTATTGATGCACATAATATTTCACCCAAATATCGATGGAGAATAAAGAGTAAAAGATCGAATATGTGAAAACTCTCCTGGTCCCCAAAACTGCAGAAAGCTATGACGTGAGTTTGTTCAGTAAAATCCATCACAAATGTTTGAATAAACATTTATGTTCTGTGAAAAAAAAATGATACACAAAATCAGCTTGCAGTCTCTAATTAGCTTGCTGACTCATTCTCTGAACCAGCTCCAGATTCCTCCGGCTCAGTACTAAGCTCCTCTTCCCGAAGCTTATAGACTCGGAATATTGCTAAATTTGTGTCGCCTGGCGAATAAATGTATACACAGAAACCGAGAAATATTTATTATTCAGGAACAATGGATCGCTTTTTTCCAGTCAGACTTGTTAGGCATAAAATCATGAGGGCTCACTACCAAAATAGTAGAAATATGCAGTCAGAGAACAACATTAGTAGTAACATTATTGAATTTAAGAAAGAATGCCACAATTAATGCGTGACGATTATCTGTTAAGTAAATAAAGATAATAGTTACTTTTTTAGTAATTAGACGAGCCTCAGCCTAAATAGGTGTTTTGGTAGTTAAAAATCATAGTAAAAGAGTGATCATACCAAATGTGACAAGATTTCCTGGTGATGCAGGGTAGACCACTCCAGGTTGGAGCCTTTTTTCGCCTATGAATGTACCATTTGTGCTGTCTAAATCCGTAATCAACAGATTTTCTTCTGTCTTTTGAATCCGGGCATGCACAGCAGAAACTATATTGCGTGCAGAGGAACAAATTAAGGCGAAAAAAGGAGTGGTTAAAAGCTTCAGTATAAGAAGCTAAAAGTTGAAATGGAGTAAAAGGAGGGTGTCTTATGAGAATATGTGGTAAAAGTATTTTTGACTTTTGTTGATATTTTTCTCAAAACCAGAAATATGATATGCCATTTGGGCTCAAGAAAAATATGAAGAATGACTCGAATCATAAATATATATTGACTACCTGTCGGCACAGAAATCACAATATCTGCCTTATCACCCACACGTCCAACTGTGACTACATTCTAAATCATGTCCAAAGAAAAAAAGGGTTCACTTAGAAAATATTGAAATCAAGCACGGGATTCTCAACGTTGTTCACATACTTACAGAATCTATCTCAAATGTACCAGGCATGGGAATTTTGTAACCTATGTGCCTTGTATCGCCATTACCTGTAAAACAAAAACACAAATATTTGAGTACTGAAGAATAGCAGCAAGGCCATAGACCGGTTAATAATAGGAATACTAAAGCTCGTATTTTCAAAAACCAAGAAAATCTAATCAAACTATCATTGAGTTCTCGAGTGTACAATCCGCTTGTAAGACACGCAAAATGCAGAGTAAGCATCAAGCCAACTCAATTTCTCCCCCTTAAGCCTCCACTTGGATTGAGAATTCGAACATATAAACCAAATCCATTCAATTTGTTTTAATATTCTTCTCAATTCATGTCTTCCAATCAAAATGCAACTTAAAGGGGACCTCAACTATGGCACATCAAATCCTATCAAGCTTCAACACTAAGTTAAATTCAAAAGAATTTCAAGAGCAAAGTAAATAAAAATAAAGTATGCAGCATATCAGTACCCATCAAGGCTTAACACTAAACTCCCAGTAAAAGACCCCCAAAATATAAGGGGTGAAAGAAAACAAATTATTACCCCCACTTAATTTGAAATCTGCTAAAGAGTTTTCACACTGTGCCTCAATATCAACACACACACTCCACAGTCTATAATTATCAAGTCATGATCAGACCCAACATTAAACTTCAAGACAATAAGTTTCAGGACACGCGCACATAGACCTATGGGTTCAAGAAGCCATCTTATGGAACCATTAATTGCTGTACGATTTTCAGAACCAGAAGCAGCTGTAATGGCACCAAATTTCCTCAGCCCATTAATTGCACTGTAATTTAGCTTGCTGGCCAGGCAATTATAGCCGGAAAAATTGACTGAGCCACGGGGAAAAAGGGTTGATTTTACCGGAAAAGGCAGTGGAGATAATGAGGTAGACCTGAAGTATGAAACAGAATAGGATGTCACTTCCATTCTCAATTTCTTTTATTTTATTTTTCCGGTTTTCCCTTTTCAGATATATGGTATGTGAATAATGAATAATGAATGAATATGTGATGATGGTTAACTGCTCACTCCATTTTGTTTGAGAAAATACTTATGTATGTTAAAACTAGAGAAGATTTAGAATAGAGAAACTGTATTATTTTGATATATTTTTCATTATAATTGAAGCCTCTATTTACATGAAAACTTTTGATGGTACAATCGTAATAGTATAATTACATCAAGGGCTAAATAGTCATTCATATATATATATATATATTTTATCACCTCGTGAGGTGCATGCACAATAATATTATAACACTCCCCCTTGAATGACTATTTTCTAAATATCATTATTCGAATAAAACATAATTTAAACATCTTGAAGTGTATCATGTGGCCATCAATTACCGTTGTTTCAACATGTCAGTAAAACCAGCTGGGACAAAACCTGATCATTTTAGAATCAATCCATTGCTCCCTCAATGGGACAAAACCTGAGCATCGTGGAATCACAACATTGATCCCCCTCAAATAGATTATCTCTATTGGAGTATTCACGTGCTACCTCGTTAAAACCTTGTCAAGAAAACCTAGTGGGAAGAACTTGATTGAACGAAAAAGAGTACAACTACTCCAATATCTTCTTATTATCATGAGGAATTATATCAATTATCTAGTAATCGTTATTGTATCATGAATATGTCTCGTTAAAACCTTATTAGGAAAAACCCAGTGGGACAAAATCCTAATGAAGGAAAAAGAGTACACTATTCATGTGAATATGCTATCTCTGTTGCCTCATTAAAAACCTTACTGGGAAAACTCAATGGGACAAAACCTCAACTAAGGTAAAAAGAGTACAACATTTGGTCTTCAGGACCTAATCTGCTGGATTATTTTGAGTTTGCCCTTTCCCTTGAAGACAATAATCTTCCTAATTTACGCATACCAATACCATAAATATATTTTTCAAAAGTAGATGTGGGAAGGGGTTTGGTGAATAGATCTGCCAAATTCTCACTAGATTGTACATTTTGTACAATAATCTCACCGTTCTTCTGTAGCTCGTGTGGATAAAAGAATTTTGGAGCAATGTGTTTTGTCATGCTTCCTTTGACATACCCACTACTCATTTGTAAAACACAAGCTGCATTGTCCTCGTAAAGGACAGTGGGGGGTTATATCATTTTTAATTTCACATGACCTACGAATATGTTGGATTAAAGATCTTAACCATACACATTCTTTTGAAGTCTCATATAAAGCAATTATTTCTGAGTGATTTGAAAATGTAGTAACCATGGACTGCTTGACCGACTTCCAAGATATTGCAGTACCTCCACAGAGAAAAAACATAACCAGTCTGAGATCTGGCATTATGGGGATTAGACATATAACCAGCATCTGAATATCCCACCAATGTCATATCTTGGTTATTTTTATAAAGTAAACCATGATCTTGTGAACCTTGAAGATACCTAAAAATATGTTTAATTCCATTCCAGTGTCTCCTCGTAGGAGAAGCACTAAACCTTGCTAGCAAGTTTACTGCAAATGCAATATAAGGCCTAGTGCAATTTGTAAGATAAAGTAACTCGCCAATGGCGCTTAAGTAAGGAACTTCTGGTCCTAAACTTTCTTCGGTATCTTCTTTAGGTCTAAATGGATCTTTATCCAGTTCAAGTGATCGGACAACCATTGGTGTGCTAAGTGGATGAGATTTATCCATGTAGAATTTTTTTAAAACCTTCTCCAAGTATGCTGACTGATGTACAAAAATTCCTTCAGGGAGATGCTCGATCTGCAAGCCGAGGCAATATTTGGTTTTACCCAAATCTTTCATTTCAAACTCCGTCTTTAGGCATGAGCTAGCTTTATCAAGCTCCTCTTGTGTGCCAATTAAATTTATGTCATCAACATAAACTAAAATGATACAAAAACCATTCTTTGACTTCTTTATAAATACACAAGGGCACACATCGTTATTTACATAATTATTTTTCAACAAAAACTCACTCAGCCGGTTGTACCACATTCTACCTGACTGTTTTAAGCCATATAATGACTTTTGTAATTTAACACTATACATGTTGCGTGTTTCATTTTCCTTTATTTCGAGAACTTTTAATCCTTTAGGGATTTTCAGATATATATTTTTGTCCAATGACCCATATAAATATGCGGTCACGACATCCATTAACTGCATATCTAAATTCATATTTACTGCCAGAGATATCAAATAGCGGAACGTTATTCCATCCATTACAGGAGAATATGTTTGATCAAAATCAATACCGGGTCTCTGCGAAAACTCTTGAGCAACTAATCTCGCTTTGTATCACACCACCTCATTATTTTCATTTCTCTTTCGTACGAACACCCATCTATATCCTACTGGGATAACATTTTGAGGTGTGCGCACAATAGAGCCAAAAACTTTTCGTTTATTTAGCGAGTCTAGTTCAACCTCAATTGCTTCTTTCCATCTTACCCAATCTGAGCGCTTCCGGCACTCTGCAATTGTTTTAGGTTCTGGATCCAGATTATTAAAGATGGTAAGAGCAATTATAGAGGCAAATGTGTCGTCGACGACTTTGTTACTTCTGTTGTAAGTTTCTCATGTATCAACAAAATTCATAGCTACTTCAATATTTACATCAACCAGATCGTCATCATTTCCCAATATATTTTGATCTGGATGTTCCGCAATCCTAGTATTTTTATTATTTGTTGCACGTGCATTTAAACTAGGATTTTCGCCTTCTGGACGATTTTCTTCTGGAGATTCTGGAGTGATTCAATATTTTTATTAGATTTTATTTTCCGCGGATTATTATCTTTTGTACCAACGGGTCTCCCACGCTTCTGGCGTAGAGCATCTGTAGTAATATTATATTTCATGGGGACTTCTACTCGTTGTGGTGCATTTATAGAAGGTACATGTGATTTGGTCACTCCTTTATGATCAGTGAATGCATCTGCAAATTATTTGCTAAATAGTGCAAATTAATTATCTTTTGAACTTCAAGTTCAGTTTCATTAGTGTGTGGTTCTAAATATTGTAAATTTTGTACATTCCAAGAAATTTCTCGGCATTTATTGAAGTTTGGGCTTTTATCTCCCCCTAATGCCGGAAAATTCGTTTCATCGAATATGCAATCAGCGTATCGAGCTGTAAGTTTATCCTCAGTCATGGGCTCTAGGTATTTGATAATAGACGGAGATTCATATCCAATATATATACCTAGCTTTCGATGAGGGCCCATAGATGTACGTTGTGGTGGTGATATAGAAACATATATTGCACAACCAAATACTCGCAGATGGCAAATGTTAGGTTCTCTACCACTCACTATTTGTGTAGGTTAGTAATCGTGATATGCAGTAGGTCAGATTCGAATTATGGCAACAACATGTAAAATTGCATGTCCCCAACATGAAATTGGTAAGTTGGAATTTTGTAATAATGGTCTAGCAATTAATTTGATGCGCTTAATTAATGATTTGGCTAAACCATTTTGTGTGTGAACATAAGGTACTGGATGCTCCACTTTGATGCCTAATGACATACAATAATCATCAAAAAATTTCGATGTAAATTGGCCGGCTTATCCATTCTAATAATTTTAATTTGGTAGTCAGGAAATTGAGCTCTTAATTCAATAATTTTAGCAAGTAAATTTGGAAAAGTCTGATTTCTAGTGGATAATAAACACACATATGTCCATCGAGTGGAAGCATCTATCAGGACCATAAAATATCGAAAAGGTCCTGATGTTGGATGAATTGGTCCATATATATCACCATGAATCCTATGAAGAAACATAGGAGATTCAATCCCAACTTTAGTACGTGAAGGTCTTAATATCAATTTTCCCTTTGCACAAGCATCACAAATAAATTCATTAAAAGAAGGGAGGCTGTTGTTTGATACATTATGCCCAATAGAGTTAGAAATAATCCGGCGCATCATACTAAGCCCAGGATGACCCAATCTCTCATGCCATAATTTAAATGAATTTGGGTCTTTAAATTTTAAGCTCAATGCAACATGATTTATAGAAGGTTGAATGTAAGTTGATATAAGCCCGAGGAGAACGAGGGAAGTTCTTCTACAATTTTCTTTTGACTTCCTTGTGAATGAGTCATAAGAAGGTACTCTATATTATTTTCAGTCTTAGTTTCAAGATGAAAACCATTTGATCGGATATCTTTAAAACTAAGGAGTGTTCTTTGTGATTCATGGTACAAAAGCGCATCTTTAATTATTAATTCGGTACCCTTAGGAAGAGTAAGTAAAGCTCTGCTGGAACCCACTATCAAGATTTTATCTTGAGCAATTGTAGTAACACTCCCTTTCTTTTCATTTAAAATTTGAAAAAAATTTCGATCTTTCAAAATAGTGTGCGTAGTAGCACTATCGACCAGGCATAAAATACTCTCTTTCTCCATGACTTGCAAACTATTGAATGTCAATGGCACACTAAAAAGAAAAATAAAATATTATAAGCAAACATAATAATGACACAATCCCAATCAAAACACAACATACAAAAACATAAAAATAACAAAAACAAACCATAACTTTCTGATTGGAACAAAAAAAACCATAATGAAACCAAACATAAAAATATCTAGTAACAGACAGAATAAATATTAAATCACACATTATATATCACCAAATTCTTCCATCCCGAGTTTCAATAAATCATCATCATCATTTATTGCTAAATTTGCTTCAGGCAAACTAGCGTGATGTGATTCAACTTCAGGAGCCTTTCCTTTCTTATCCTTGAGCGTTCTTTGATAAGCTTCAACTAGGTGACGAGGAGTACGACATGTACGAGACCAATGACCAGTGCATCCACACCTATAGCAAACTTGCTTATCTTGATTAGCTTGTGGAGCATAGATGTTAATATTTTCTTTTCGACCCGTCTGTTCCTCAACTCCTTTACCTCGTCCTCCACCTTGAGTCCAGACATGATTACGACCGCGACCGCGACCACGTCCGCGACCATGACCATGACCACCACGGTGTGGCTGATTATGATATCCTCTACCTCTTCCTCGCATA